TGCGTCTATTTAAAAAAATCAATAATCCCCCCATTCCCGAGTCCTATACTTCGCAGCGCTCAGACTTTGCATGAACTTTGGTGACCTCAACCATCGCGATACTCACGATGTGACGAGAATGCACAGGTTCAATGACCGGTCACGATGGCGAGCCCGACAAGAAGCTTGTATAACTTTCTTTTTTTTCCACAAGTGACTGCACAGGACAAACGATTTATTTTCATGGCGACACAGCGTTTGTAATGCAGAACCTGCATGTTAGAAATGTGGCGCTATTAGACTACTATAGGTCCTACAGGCAAATTTCTAGGTGGTAACAAAAGCGAAAGTAGATCTTGATTTTTCCCGATCAAGCTTCGGTATCGCACATACACTTCCACTTGTTGCTGCCATAACCGCCTGTGCGCGGGTAACGTACTCTCAGGCCGGGAAAGGCCGAATTAATTTTATATCACAACCGCGACCGGCAAAAATGAACTCTACGACGTTAACGGATTTGGTTTTCAAATATTCGAGAACGTTTATGTATTTTCCTGGGTCTTTCACGGGGCAATTTACAGATTTCTTCAAATTCCTGTTGCATTCCGGGTCTCGGCGATTTTTTTCAAATGACCGGGTAATTCCAGGGGCCCCCGGGATTCCCGGGGCCTGGCAGTCACCCTGTACACATGTTCCTGTCCGATCTGGCAAAATTCAAGCAGTTTTCAAGGAGATTTTTCCTTGAATGAAAATTCAAGGAGTTTTCAAGGATATTTTCCCTTGAATGCAAATTCAAGCAGTTTTCAAGGACTCCTTGAATTCAAGGAGGCCGCGGGAACCCTGGATATTTCATCTCAGTTTTAGCTCTATCCGGTGACTATTCCAAGAAGTCAACTTTGTCATTGCATATCTTATTTTCCACCAATGTCACAATTCTAATCACACTAAAATATAGGGCCTACTGGAAAGTGCCGCGGATAGCTTTGACTTATTTTCTTCTTTTGCTATTCGTATCCGCCTATCCTTAGTACTAAATTACCATTACAATTGCTTTTAACTTAGACAAAAACATTTGTTACAACACAGTGGAATCAGGCGCTCGTCAAGTTTTGGGCACACAGAGTTATTGGTATCATCTTAAAACTTATTAATTTATTTGTCTAGCATTCGGCAAAAAAAAAATCTAGAATAGAAGTCGAGATATTTTCGATCAAAAGAGGCGGGGGTCCCCTGGTGTGAGAGGTAAAATTAGAGAGAAAATGGCTGCCAAAGTTTGGTGACTTCAAAAGCTTGAATGTCCTTGAAAGCTGGAAATTAACATTTTATGCCTTTAATCAACATTTTTCTGTAAAATCCACAAAGAAATGTGTTTTTAAATGGACATAAACAGTGCTGAGCCAAAAAAAGAACATTTGAAAAAAATTGGGTAACGCCAAGAAAAATGCCTGTTTCTTTGATTTCATTATTTTGATGAGCCCCTGATTCCACCATGCAGCCTCACATTTCATTTTCACAACACTCTCCTGCAGTTTCTTTGTTCCTCTCCAAGAATGCAAGGATCGGAGTCTGAATCCACAACTTACCACACAGTTTTCTTTTTAAGTAGGCCAATAACATTGTCAGTCTCATCCAAAAAATAGAGGACCTCTCCCTCATACAGGTAGCCCTTGCGAATCTGCAAAAAAACAGAGGAGAAAAATTAAACAAATACTTTATAATATAAATATATATATATATATATATATATATATATATATATATATATATATATATATATATATATATATATATATATATATATGTAACACATTTCATGCCGCGCAGGCATGATCCCTCATGCTCACAATTCATTGCCAGCTGCCTGGGCATGGAGATTCCCAGTTCAAAGTGATACCTCTACAAAGCAACCGTAACATTTTATCCCTGTGGCTTCCATTTGCTGCCCCCCCACCAAAAAAAAGAATCGGGACAATGCACTCTGACATTATCTAACACTTGAGTCAAACATTTTTACTGTTCATTTCAAAGTAAATTGGTAGTTTCAATAGCAGATGGCAAAGTGACCATCCCACACAGCATGACGACATGTGCAAGTGAAGTAGAGGGAGTTTCTGATTCAGATGACTGACAGGGATAAAAGTTTAGACATTGTTTCCTCAGCTAAGGACCTCCACATACACTATACAGTATGGGAGATATACCAGAACCTTGGAGATGGACAAGTGATGGTAAAAAGAAGGCGTGGTCATGTGTGTGAACAATATAAACAAACAATGAAATGAGTTCAGAGAGAAGAAACTGAAAAGGTGTAGAGATATTGAGAGGAATTTCACAGATAATCAAATCCTTTGGTGTCATTTTCCACTGGTATACCATAGCATACAAATTTTAACTTGAAAGTTCCAAAATTTACTTCTTCAGGGCAAACTATTCCAAGCGAATTCACTTGGCAAAATAAGGGTTAAGAAATGCAAAAACTTTCATGCATGGAGTCAAGGACCTAAGAAAGATCAGGTATCAGATCTCTAGAGCACCACAGCAGTTATATTTAGTAAGATCAGTCAATAAATGCTGAACACTTTATAATCTAAAATTTTGAGTTTATGAACCAGTGTCACTGCATTCCGAAAATTCTTGTAGTTGCTTTACTCAATTTTCATTTTCTTTTCGTATCCATGAAATAATTAACTTATTTACTCTTTTTCATAGCTTTTCCAGGAGGTGGACATTGCTTTTTGCTTTTCAGACCTTGTGTCTCTTGTTTATAATTTACTGTAACTGGAAAAAACCAAACTCCGTAATTAATAGTGATTACAACAAAATTTCCCCATTGGACAAAAGAAAGGATTTTGTGCTGTTAACCATACCTGTTTCATTCTGCTCTCTACATCAGATGCAGCCAACACATCATAGTCCACTGTCATCAGTCCAAGAGACTTTGCTATCTGAGTCATCATAATAAGAAAACTATAATCAAATCACAAAGGCAGCATCATGGAAATATTAGTTCTGCAGGTAAACTAAACCTGTAAAGTTCATTTGTCTGTTTGAGTTAAAGAGAAACACATCAACTTGATGTCCAGTCCTGTAGAATTGGAAGAAAGCAAGACAGACAGAAACAACAGAATGATGAAGTACAACAGGTATGAGTATGAGGTAAGACCTGACACTGGTGCTCTAAAATCCCCCCCCTCCATATTAAAAGAACCTTTCTCTGAACTAACAAGCACCCTACACAGTGTTTGAGACGCCATTCTGCATACTGAAAGTGTTTGAGAAGACTGAAACCACACCATTACAACATACTCAACAACTTTCAGAAAATTACTGAAATATACAAAATCTCTCAAAAACCACAGACCATCATTAAGAAATCGGGTAATTAATATTTCAATACCAGAAATCGCAGCTAATGTTTCTCTTTCTGAAAAAATAACATTTTCTTTTTAAAAAAGTCTAGTCAGAGGCTGAGAAACACAAGCTGAGAGCTGTAAAATGGAGAAATTTTAATTTTTTTACGAGATGACTGTCTAGTCTTGTGAAGCTGTGCTAATTCAGACAACAAATAAAGTAATTCCATTATGACAGGCAATAGTACTCCAATCCCGATTTCCTAAAGTTCTTGCTTTTCTATTTTGCTTGGGCATATATACAATTGCAAAAATAAAATTACGGCATTACATATTTTTCCTTTCTTAAGAAAATGTAAAATATTCAAGTACTCAGCTGTTCTAGCAATCCGAGAAATATTAGACTTGTTCACATACCATCTCTGCCGAAGATCCCAGTAGGCCTACTCGGAAGCAAGAAAAATGTGGGATCTTAGGCGAACGGGATCTTAGCTGATGCACCAAGGGAAGAACCTACTGTGATCCATGTTAAGGCCCACAACCTGTAAAATGGTTTCCCTTCACTCTAAAATGAACTAACGTGAACCCTGGGCCGACGTAAGACATGGCCAGCAAAGAGTGGACAAACTTGATGACCAATCAAAGAGGCATGAGGCATGCCATTTACACTAAATGATCCTATCACAGGTCTCAAGATCTGCACTTTTGAGGGAGGCATTGTGCTGCCAAGAGCCAAATGCTCGCAGCTTAAGGGATTTGAAAACAACAACAACAAAAACGCTTATCCAGTTGCCCATCCCTTTCACCTGTCCAAAATTTATAGCTTTCCAACTCTGACCGAGTTCGCCCACCTTTGTCGTTATGCAGCATTACGCTGTGACCACACCAATTAAAATTAAGTTTGTCTTGCAAATTCGAGAGAAGAGACAACTGCCGCAATGGTCAGGGAAGAGTTCACAGTTCGATATGATCCCGTCTGGAGCGAAATTGTAGGTCCTACCCACCCAGCGAGTGATGAAAGTTTAGGTGGAGAGCTCAGATCTGAAGAGCGGGATTTTAGCCGAATGTAGATCTTCAGAGTGAATCAGGGCGAGATCTGAAGGGTAATTTTTGTTCAGTAAAAATACTGTTTTTTTCCAACAGTGAGATCTTAACCCGACCGGGATCGTAAGCGGTGGGATCTTAGGTGAAAACTACAGTACTTGCTGTTCAAATGCACTGCTTTATTATTAGTCAAAGAGCATGAACCCAGATGCTGCTAGACAACAACAACATTGGCAATAACATCAAAATTTATATTGGCCGCAGCCTAGAAGCTGCTGGACTGACAAGAACATCAACATCGGTATTATACAGCAAAGTCACTCACTTCGATACCAACATGGGGAGGTACTGTACACAGTTTTTGTTGGGGATCAGGTTCCAGTTCTGTTGAAGTCCAAGTAATGAACTGCATCACTGGTCTGTAATTTATTAAAAAGAAACATAACCTAATTCCCATAGTTAAAAAACAACTGTATGAGTGATGTGTGTGTGTGTGTGTGTGTGTGTGTGTGTGTGTGTGTGTGTGTGTGTGTGATATATAGGCTACAAGTAGAGGAAAAATCCATTACAACTCAACTTTCAAGTTTCCAGCAGGGAAAACAGAAACAATGTATACAGGTACAAGATCTCCCTAAATCAAATCTGATACCTAGAAATGAACGCTACTGCTTGCAAGGGCAAAAATAAAAAATAAAAATATTACCCTTTTCCCAAGAACATTTAAGTGAGGTGTGAGGTAAGACCTTAATTACAGAAAGTCAGAACAATAATGACCGATTTCAGGAAGGAACAGTTTAGGATAAAAGAAACAGTAACACTGAAAAGGAGTAGGACGAGCAATCACATCAGTGCACCCAGCAACCACCCACACACACTCTAAACTAAACAAAAGTAATACTCAACACACAGTGGTGAGAAATGCAGAAGACTATGAGACTCATACATGTTCACAATGAATGCATTACCAAGAGAAACTAAACATCAATTCAAGCTGTGTTTTCAAGCAGACAGCATGATAATGTCCACACTTTGCCAGTAAAAGTGGAGGACAGAAGTAAAAATGAAAAAAGGAGAAGCAGATGACAGCAGAACATGGCACAACCATCTGCAGTGAACATTAAAGGATACTCACTTCTCCAGATGGGACAAATCCTCAACATGCTGATGTCCTGGAACCAAAATCTCAAACACGGCCGTGAACCTTGTGTGAACCAAAAAGTCTAACAATCTGTCGAGGGATAGAGGACCATTGTGACAATGAGGAACGTTCAAATTGTAAATTATACTGTAAGTGAGCCTGTAAAATGACCCGAGATTCATAGAATTATACTCCTTCTTCTTTGCATTCCCCCGCTAGATCTCAGAGGTGGTCAACTGTTGGTTCTTCAACCTGCAGTGCAACTGACTTTTACACATGTGACCGCTTTTCCAACTTCGTAGGGCCCCTTGCTATCAGACAGGCACTGTCTGATTTCGAAGGCACTCTATATGTTTTTATACCGACAAAAGTATTTTCAGTTCTGGTAGGAATTTTTAATTTTGCCCGCGTGGCAGCCGAAGCCTACTCTTATTGATTTTAGAACTGTCAAGGGGTCTTTAATGTGCGCAACTTGCACACGATACCTCCGGAATTTTTCATCCATATCCGAGAAGGCTAGGAGTTTGACTTTATCTACCCTAAGATCAGGGGTGCGGCAGAAAAACAGCAGTATGAAGGAGCCAAGAAGTAGCAGAAGAGTCAAGGGTACATGGGATAGGAGCCCAGAGAAGCCCAGAGGATACTGGAGGAAGGGAGGGAGGAAGGAGAAAATGGAGATGAAAGCAGGTGACAGAACATGATTAGAAAACCAGTGAGGAGTAGAAACAAAGACACAAAGAGAAGGAAATCTTTCCTCGCTGTCAGAATTTGAACTCGGGACCTATTGAATGAGAGGCAAACACCACACCAAACCTCTAGACCATGAGAGCCCCCATAAAATTATAATGTAAAACAGTTTGGAATTTTCAGAATGCTTGTTAAGGCAAGTGGGAGGAAAAATCAAAATCTTTTAAAATCAATTTTGGAGACATGCACATCTCTCTTATTATCTGTTCTCTTTCCTTCTTTTCAAAAAATGTTCCTAGCACCCTGCTTGTCTATACTGACTTTCTGTCTCTATCTATAGAACAGTTGAAATTGTCCAAGACATTCACCCATTGTCAAGGAGAAAAGTGTTGGTCTTAGACAGGTGGACATCTCGGGCAGTGTTATTATAATATAGAAAAATTGCAAGGGGGGAGTGGGTAATGGGTGTTTGTACGGGTGGTTCTCTTAAGACAGGCATCCATTAGAGCAGGTTCAACTGTACTTTCAAGACTGCTCAAGTTTGATACAACTTATAATATTGCAAGTGAAAGGTATCTGTTCCAATACAAAAATATAAATAACTAATGAAAGAATGGCATGATTTGTTCAAAACTTGTCTTTTAATCATATTGCTTAGGCAAATGAACTCATCAACTCTATAATTGAATGAACTATTTTCCAAAGATTTTCTAAAGGTTTGTTGGAACAACCACACATCCTTTTGGTACAAAATTTTAAAACACATAACCAAAATTATTAACACATTTCTAGAAGTAGCCTATAACAGCTAATAGTAGCAATTCTATTCAAGTCGTCAACGGTAAGAGCAACAAACACAGAGATGTATACCAAACTAAGTATCCTTTCCATAGCAAAACAGTTGTAGCGATAACTATAGTAACAAAAACTCCCGTTTAAAAGAAAAACCAACAATGGAAAAAAAAAGTGCCAACAGAAGCAATCGCAGCAACATTGTCAGTACAATGACATCTGCTTACACATCATACCTGGTAGAAAAATCACAGGTCTGAACCAGTGCTTGCCAAACTGAGTGATATCCCCCACAAGCGGGCAATTTGGTAACTGTAGGAGGCTGTAGAGATCATTCGGGCATTGACAGATTTTATTTTATGCCACGCTTGGAAATACTCGTAGGTGGGAGGTAGGAAAATTTTAGCCTCAGAAAGGTGGCAAAAGTGGGCGCTAGTTATAAAAATGTTGAGGAGCACTGCTGGTCTAAACAACTTCCCATAGCTTTTACAAGGTTGCCACCCAGTAGCTTTAACCCACACAGTCTGAATTTCACATACCTGTCTTTCTGCTCGGATTCCATTTCCTCCAGGCAATCCATGATACAGTGACAAACTTCATGCGCTATCCTATACCTGTCCCCTCTGTAAAACTGTATGTCAGCTGGGGAGAAAAGGAATACTCGCGTTACAAAGCAAAGGACAACAACAAGACAGGCAAACCAGACACTTTTACTAATACTAATACTGAAACAAATGCATTCCTCTGTAAAGACCAAAGACCAGCAAAATGAACCTTTTTGGAGAAATAATTTTATCCAGTCCTCTTGACTTCTAATGAAACTCCAATTTAGATTCATAGTAGTTTTAAGCTCACTTCATATTACGCTACACACACAGAGCTGCTCCGAGTGTCCTGATGCTGGTACATTCTCAGAGGTGACATAAGAAAGACATAAATCTCAACCTGCTTGTTGCAATCTCATTCAGTTCTCATACACATGCGCCAATGGCATACTTTGTACATGTCTTGTGAAAATATACACAACACAGAAAATAAATTGCATTCTAGAATAACTGAAACTACGGCATGTATCAGCACACCAGTTAATGAAATGGCTACTTCCGTGCAACATTTGTTAAACAATAGTATTAAAAAAACAACTTGATAATACAAATACAGAAACATCCTGCCCTGGCCTGTCCGATCATCATGAGTTCTATGGCTTGCTCCATTAGTTGGGAAACTTATCAAGTTAGTTATTTACATCATATCTTGGTCTTATCACTATCCTTGACTCCAGAATGAGACTATTTCTGCCCCTCCAATAAAGCAAACAGTCATTAAACTTACAAGAAGTTCCTTCTAGCTCTCCCCTAGAAGCTGTAACACAAAAACTATGTGAAAACACACAGGTATACCTGGTCTGCTTTGACTTTGTCACTTTCTTTCATGCAAACTCATCCTTTCCCATAATTGTTAGGCAAGTTCCCCTAATCTTACGGAGAGTTGATTTTTCTTCATATCTGTCCCACAATTTTGGGTGGAAAATGGGTTTGAGCGCCAGTTTGTTACATATACAACAAAATCAATCCTGGATGCCAAAATGATTATTAATTTGGGAAGGTAATAGGTTCACATCCCCTTTGCATTACAACGCTAATGTGTCATGATGCAGTGGAATCAGGCACTAGTCAATTTTTGGGTATGTAGAGGTATCGGTATCATCTTAAAGGCTATCATTTGCCTTGCTTCTGATTTTTAAAATATCCATTTATCTTGAATAGAAATCGAGATATTTGCAATTGAAGGAGATGGGGTCGCCTGGTTTCAAGAGTAAAATGACTGACAAAATGGCCGCCAAAGTTTGGTGACTTCCATAGCTTAAGAGTCCTTGGAAACAGCAAATTTACATTTTTGAGCCTTTAATCAATGTTTTTCCATAAAATCCACACAGAAAAGTGTTTTTGAATTGCCATACAAGGCGATGAGTCAAAAAAAGAAAATTTGAAAAAAAAATTCTAACTGGCCGAAAAATGCCGATTTCTCAGATTTCATTATTTTGACGAGTGCCTTATTTCACGACGATGCCTCAAATATGTGAGGCGCGCTGACAAAATGAGTTAATTCTAGCAAACCAAAAATGGAGATAGTAGCCAAAAAATCGACGCTTGGGTCAAATTTGTAGTTTTTATACGATGCCATATTTTTCAACTATAACATACCTTTTGTTATTTCATACTTATAAATTGTAAAAACTTCACCTATAAGCATGGTGTATCTATTTCCATAGGGTTCAAAATCGAAAAGTAGCTCATTTTGTGAGCACGCTTCACATATCACACATCAATTTATTATCAATAAACAAAAAACTCTAGAGCTTAAAATGCTTAGAACCTGAAACCATCAACATAAGTTTTTACCTCTGTTCCGTATGAGCAAATGGACATTTTTGGACCCAGCACATATGAGGTTCTGACCATCAATGTTAATGCAGCTGAGATGAGCAGCCTCCCCATTGGCCTTCCTGGTGGCTACAATTTTTGTTGCTTGGTCCAATGGCTTAAAAGTAAAATAAAATGAGAGATAAAACAAACCTTTCTACCTATTACAAAGTAAGCAATAAAAAAGAAAAAAATCTAAGGAACCCGTCCTCTCATCTCCATTCAACCAGCTGGTTGCTGCTCAATTTTTCCTTAAAAAGCATTCTGCACAGTGAATAAGTAATCTTCATTTATCATCACCAAAATGTTACAGGAAAACAACTTCTTGTTTAAAAAAATAAAAACTCTCTTACAAAAAAGCTTACTCACACACACACTATTAGAAATAGACTTTTCAGCATGCTGCTTAAGAAACACATGAGAAATCAACTTTTAACTAAATTTCACATAAAGTATCTGACCGTTCACACCAACAAATCTATTTCATCACTTGTATTGATGAAAATTTCAAGTTGAATACATATTTCAAACTAGATCATCTTTAGCTGACTAAAAGGGTAGTTTTGATTCCATTCACAACAGTTTTCTCTAAATGAAGCAGCTCCTATTCAAAGAATAAATTATTCAAAACAGAAAAAAATTAGACATCGAAATTTATGTGGGGTTTCAACATCTACTTTCAGTAATCATGTATCATGTCACTGGTTAAATAACGAGAACATACCAAAACCAAGAATAAATTTACCTTTGTAAAATACTTCTTCCAAGTGTGATTATCGCCTCTATCTCTGTCATCATCATCTCCTAAGCCACCTGTGAATTTCTTTAAGGCATACAGAATGCACCTGGTTCCTCTGTGCTTTCCCCTGGTGATTCGAAGAAAACAGTTGCCCCGAGCCACCTGAAAAAGAATAATACAACAGTTACAAAACTACGCATGAGGCTGCAGAATTACCAGACATGATGTAGATGTCATTGCAAACCTACCTCACACAAAAAATGTGTATACTTTACATAAACTCAAAATAAACTTTCAAAGTTACTCATTTTAAAAAAAATTCTTTACACTAGCCTACATCATTTCCCGAGTAAACTAGAGAAGTACATTCAACTGTTTCGACCTCATTGCTAAATTTCTAAACAGTTCTGTTCAATGCTGACGGCAGAAAAGTAAGAAGCGAAAAAAGATTTACCAGGTATGTCATAATCTTCTCAAAATTCCTTTAAGCTCTTAGATACCTTAACAAGTCATTGCAAAGAAAAAAAAGAATTCTTGAGGTAAGATTTTTTGCATTCAAGTATCTTTGGCAAAGCATAGCAGCCGCTACAGTATACTTATACTAACAAGGGGGAAAGTTCAGCAGCAAGTACAAATCTCCCAGCATAGTACATCATCAATTTCTGCTTGGGTTGAACTTCCTTCATGTTGGTGCTGGGGATTTTTTTTTTTTTCTTACGGGAGGAGGTGGGTTGAAAGGGAAGAAGAATAGTTGTGCCTCACCATTTGTAACGCACTAGCAGTTTATGTATGAAGGGCGTAATAATACAGACGAGGTATTGTGATGACAGTGATAAATGATATACTCTTACTCTTAGCAATAAATCATTTTGATGAATGCCTTACATTTGGATTTTACAGCAATGAAGGGAAATGATTTGTATAACAGGCTTTTTAAAAACGAAAAAAAGCCATTCTTATTAAATACTATCTCAAATCATTTCCAATATTTTGATTCAAAATTCAAGCCTGTGGAAGAACATAATTAACTTTTTTCTAATGTTTTACTAGATCTATAAGTCTTTTCTACCTTTTATTTTGCATTTTACAGATGTTTTCATGCTTCTATTAAATTGCAGTCAGTCAAACTATTACAAGCTGAAATAGTACTAACAAAATGAGAATATCTATTATCTAAAACAGCACTCAATGACTGAGTCATTTAAATAGCGACTGACTGTAAATGAAAAATAGAGATAGAAATCCAGCCATTTGTAAATTATAAATATATGTAAGTCTTTTTCAGTCCCAAAAGCATAATTTCACTATAAAACTTCAAATAGCGCTAAAAAAAAAAATTTTTTAATATGTATCACACAAACATTAATTGTTATACATTATCAAAGATCCTATACTACAAGAAAGGTTCAATCCACTATAAAAGCATCCAAGTCTGTGCTCATTGCCATGTTGCTCTTTTGAAGTTTTCTTTTATTTCTCAAGAAAAAAAGTAGCTAATCTTTAAGTTTGAAAAACAATAGTATTATTGTTATTCCCAACAACTGTCAGCTGTTTGCTCAGCTAAGTTTATCAACTATGGCAGCATGGCCACTCCCGCACAATTAAATGTCAAATAAGACTGCCCGCCCCAATGACCAAGTTTTATAAAAGCCAGAAATTTGCCATGGTTGGTTTCAGTTCCTTTGCCTTGGTAACTTTTTGTGTATATATTGCATTACTGCTGACACTTTGCGCTCACAAGTTTGCATAGAACTCATGGAGTTTTGATTATAAAAACAGATCCTTGTGCCTGACACATGCAATGTCAGGAAACTTTCTGACCAAATACAGTTGAATGGGATGAACATGCTCAAGTCCTCCTCCAGACCATTCACTTTAGTGACTACCAGTGTGCAAGAGCAGGGAGCAGCAGCATCAATAAATCAACATCAGACAATGTTCCAACAAATTTTATTAAGTCCACAACTGCTTCAGGAACAGCAGAGAGCAAACGATATGACAACATCTAGCATGAGAATGGAGATAGAGGCAATCACTTAGGCTCTCAAATGGGTCACAACAACTCGACAAGCACATGTGATCTTTGTCACAGACTCTCAAAGCACTCTAAGGAAGATTTAGAGTTGGGAACCTTAGAGCTGAATGGACAGAGCTCCTGAAGAAGACAACACTGAAAAAGATCATGTGGATCTTCACCCCCGGCCATGCTGGAGTCAAGGGCAATGAGCGGGCTGATGAGCTCTCTGGAAAAGCAAGACCTGAAGGGAAGCTGTGCCCTGACAAACCTGAAATTGTACGTTCAGTCAGGGAAACACGAGAAAAAGAACAAGAAGAGTCGGAATACCATCATTATCATCTTGAGTGACTTCGTGAGCTTGGAATCGGATGGGGCGCCTGCAGAAGTTCAAAACTTTGTGGGAGGAGCAGAAGGCTATGGAATCAATCATTGTTTTGAACCGTCAGCATCTACACACTTCGAGATGTGCTTCTTCAGGGGACGGAGCACTTATGGGGATGCCCCTTGTTCAGTGATGTCGGTCCTTCACACAAGTAAACAAGTAAACAACTGCTTCAATTGTCGCTTCATTCATCATAAGCTCAAAATAAAACTCCACTGTAAAATTTTGGTTGTGTGAGACTGTGATGAGAACATTATAATAACAATGTTACCCTGATATATTTCTTGTACTTCCATTGTCAGCTGTTCATAAAGTCAGAGCTCAGAGCCAGGTGGCACCATCAGTGATTTTGACAACTTTAAAAAAAAGTTTTTCAAAGAGAGTACCTCTGAGTGAACCATCTTGTTGTGTAGGAGCTTTGACATTATATAATAATAACTATTTTTCCAAGTACATGGTGAATTTCACATACCTTGTTTCTAACGGCAGGGTATGTGTCATATATTTGGTCATCTGGTCCTCTTTTGCAGAACACTTTGCCATCAATCAATTCACCGCTACAGTCTTTAGGCAAGATAAAATCTGGAACATCGGCAGAAACCAGCTTTAGGTATTTGAGTCGCCTAGCCCACTCAATCCAACTGAAAAGAAAGAAAACAAAACACAAAATACACATTACTCTTTACCCTTGAAACTTTTTTCCCCAGTTCACTGGAATTAACTTTTAGAAGGGGCTTAGTTCTGATAGGTGACATTTTCTAGACACAAAATACAAACAAGCTTCACACAAATAAATTCGGTATCATTAGAATGTGTGACACTGTCTTAAGTACAGTAGTCTCCACCTAAGATCCCACCGCTTACGATCCCGGTTCGCTTAAGATCCCGCTGTTTTAAGAAAACAGAATTTTTACTATACAAAAGTCACCCCAAGATCCCGCTCTGATTCACTCCGAAGGTCAACATTCGGCTAAGATCCTGCATTTCAGATCATAATTTGCGGAAAAAACCCCGGGCGGGACAGCCGATCAACCAAGAGTGAAAATTTGAGATCAATAAACTGTCCGTCGCATCAAAGATCAGCTACTATCGTGAATGTGATCACAAACACGTAAAACTCGATGAAGCGATACAATGTTTGCCCCAGACGGGATCACACCGGGGTGTGAACTGACCGACACGTTTGTTTTCCCCGAACACCTCACTCACACCTGAGCTATCCCCCTAAACTTACATCACTCGCTGGGTGGGTAGGGCCTCCACGTTCGCTCCTGGCGGGATCACATTGAACTGTGAACTCTTCCCTGACCATTGGAGAAGTTGTTTCTACTCCCGAATTTGCGAGACAGACTGAATTTTAATTGGTGTGTTCACAACGTAATAGTGTGTAATGACAAAGGCGGTTGGGGGAGATGGAAAGCTATAAATTTTCGACAGGTAAGGGGGAGGGGAGGGGCAACTTGATAAGCGTAAATCTTGAGCCTCATGATAGGATAATAAGTGAAAATGGCACGCCTCATCCCACTATGCCCTGTGATAGGTCATCAAGGTTAACCACTCTTTGCTCGCCATACGTCATAAACCCACCAAGCGGTCACGTCAGTTCATTTGAGAGTGGAGGGAGACCATTTTACCGATTGTAAGCCTTAACATGGGTCACCATAGATTCTTCCCTGGGTTCGTCGGTTAAGATCCCGGTTCGCCTAAGATCCCGCTTTTCCTTGCTCCCGAGCACCGGGGTCTTAGGCGGAGACTACTGTATTTGTTTAAGTACCTGGGATTTGCGGAGTGAAAAAATAGGCATTTTCGTCCCGCCACTCAGAATAATTCATCATCACTGCTGCCACTGTCAAAACCTTCAGACAAATCTAACTCTTGATTGTATTCTCATCTTCAGTGTTTTCACAACAACAATAGTTTCATACTTGTCAATGAAACAAACTGGAGGATTCGTCTTTCACTTACTTATTCTCATCTTTAAAAAAACAACAACAACAGAATTACAGGTCTAATACAGATTAAATTGTCTCAAAAATACTCAGAACTGTTTTTTCTTATCCAAAATTATTGAGAAATCTGATAACCAATCATAATTGTTGAAAATAGGATTGCTGTAAAAATAAAAAACCACTGCAAATGCATAAGTTGATGCAATATGCGATGTGTTCTGCGGAGCACGGTAACACACATATGGCCACTAAAACCCTTGCAAATTAATTGTTTTCCAGTAAATGTTATTCCTAATTACCAAAACATCAAATCATGGTGAAATGCAGGGGGGGGGGGGGGGGGGGGGGCATGCCCCCCTGAAACCCCCAAGATTCTTTTTACATGCCCCCCCTGAAACCCCCCTTGTTGTTAAAAACAAGTAAAAAATATTACTATGCCATTGGTCCGACTGTAAAATAGTTCTGTTTTCAA